TAGATAGATAGATAGATAGATAGATAGAGATAGATTAGATAGATAGAGATAAATAGAGATAGATTAGATAGATAGATAGATAGATAGATAGATAGATAGATAGATAGATATAGATTAGATAGATAGATAGATAGATAGATAGATAGAGATAGGTAGGTAGGTAGATAGGTAGATAGATAGATAGAGAGATAGATAGATATAAATAGATAGAGATAGATTAGATAGATAGATAGATAGATAGATAGATAGATAGATATAGATAGATAGATTAGATAGATAGATAGATAGATAGATAGATAGATAGATAGAGATAGAGATAGAGATAGGTTAGGTAGGTAGGTAGGTAGATAGATAGATATGGAAGGAAGGAAGACAGGAAGGAAGGAAGGAAGGCAGATAGAAAGGAGGACGATAGATAGATATGGAAGGACAGAAGGAAAGAAGGAAGGAAAGAATGAGATGATAGATAGATATGTTCACACCCAAGGATACCTTTCCAGCTGAGATTTATTGGAAGCTAGTGAGTTGCAAAATGATCTGATCTGGTTTTGTTAAAGTATTGAGATTTAAGAGCTGACCAGTTGCTGTAAGGCTGATGCAATGCAAGTCTGATGCAATGAAGATGAGTCAGCATTGGCATTGCCCTTTTAAGACTATGAATGGGTCCACAGAAGTCTTTACCTCTTTAAGAGGTGTCTATATAAAGGCAGCCATTAGAGGGCATTCTTTCCTTATGTCCTGTATCCATTGCAGAGTTCTCCATGTAGAGTTAAGAAGATTGATTGCTTGTCAGGTATTTGCCTACCACATATATTTCTGGATATGTCTTGCATATAAACCACGGTTAAATGTTTTTGTGCTGTGTTTTGCTCCTGGCTTGTCACACCGCAAATGCTCTGACAGGTTTTTCTTCCCAGGTCCCCACACCAGATCTTTTACCGCGCTGTATTGGCGGGTGTCACGGCTAGCCCCACTCCGGAGTAACCGCCAGCGCTTCCACGCTTTTATCCTGGGCCTTCTGAAGTGAGTCAGGATGCAAGATGGGTGAACGGAGCAGAGAGAGGAAAGATGTAAAAAGTTTTTAGAAATAAGAGAGTTTTGTTTCCGAAGCCGTCACCACCGGCTCCCGATTTGGGATAAGAGTGACCCAGTCCCCAGAGGTGGTATTCAGCCGGTTCTGACCGGTTCTGGAGAACCGGTAGTGGAAAGGTTGAGTAGTTTGGAGAACCAGCCAATCCCACCTCTGATTGGCCCCGCCAACCCCATCTATTTTCTGCCTCCCATCGCGTCCCAGCTGGGTCTTCTTTGGTTGCCGTGCCCAGGAGAACGGAGCTGGAAAGCAGGTTAGTGGGGTGGGGAGGGAATGAGGGTTTTACAGTAGATCTTTCCGCTGCCATGCCCACCAAGCCACACCCACCAAGCCACACCCACCAAGCCACACCCACCAAGCCACGCCCACGGAACTGGTAGTAAAAAAAAAAAAGAATCCTACGTCCCTCTTATGTGTTTAAAAAAAAAGGGGAGATCAGGAAAAGAAAGGATGAAAAAAAGACGAAAGGAGGACAGAAACAGAAAACGAAAAGGGAGACGGAGGTCGTGGTCTGCGACTTAACCACGTTGTTGGAAGTTACAATGGCCCTGGGGAAAAAAGTGAATCGGGACTGCTTTTCGCACGGAAGACCCTTTGCAGGGTCATGTGACCCAAATTGGGGTGCTTGGCTATTGGTTTCTATTTATGATGGATTGGGGCGTCCTCAAGGTCATGTGGTCGCCCTTTGGCGACGCCCAGCTGGATCCCGGCTGGATTCTGACAAGCGAAATGAAGGGGAGGAGAAGAAGAAGCTGGTTTCCCGGAACCGAAATGTAAAATCAGGCGCGATTCGCGGAACCACCGATCTGGTACCCGACCGTTAAATACTCCCTTCTTATGTCTCTTACCCTCAGCTTGAAGCAAGTGGAGGAATGGTTCATGCAGCTGCAGAGAAACTCAGGTAAGTCAGATCGGGGAGGAGGCGTCTTTTCCCAGAAAGGCAGGTTTTTAAAGAAGAGATTGGATCATCGTTTGTCTGGAATGGGGTAGGGTCCCCTGCTGGGATAGAAGACCTTGAAGCTCTCTTCCAAGTCTGTTATTCTGCTATTCTTTTTTTTCTTCCTTCCTTCTTTCCTTCCTTCCTCCCTCCCTTTTTCCTTTCTTCCTTCCT